CCCGTAGTTGGAGATTAAGAGATATTGGATTAGATAATATTACAAGTTACCTTAAATATAACAAAAATGCCCTTTACTCTCAATTATATAACTTAACAACCCAAAATAATTCTTTCTAATAATATTAAATAAATACCATTGACCATTAACGACGATCCATATTTAACATAATTATCTTTATTTCCAATAAAACCACAACAATCTAACATAAAATATGTAGAAAAATATAACATAATATAATTATCCAATTCTTCATTTCTCAAAGGTCCACAGCTGACATCCAAAGGTCCACAGCTGACATCTAATTCAATATCTCTTAATCTCCAACTACGGGTTTTTCCGAACAATGAAATACACCCCGTGATCCCTATCTCCACTTCTTCCCCCAAGGAAAACTTAATTTCCCTGTCAGAAAATAACTGACATTTGATGTATTATATTAAATTTATTTCTTCTTTTTTTCAACAGTTACAACACGCCCACCCTTCACAAGCCCAGCGTCCCTCTCTCTGTGGTGTTGTTGTATCGAATCACCTCTTTGAATTGTATCGAATCACCCCTTTGAATTGTATCGAATCACCTCTTTGAATTGTATCGAATCACCTTTTTGAATTGTATCGAGACGCCTTGAAGACGTTCAGGGAATTTGTCGAATCGTCTTCCCTTATGATGATTTATAATATAATATCGCCGATACCTTTCAATATATAATCGCGAAAACACATATTATCAATAATGACCTGTACATTGGGGTATCTGCATTTATAATCTATGCAACATTAATATGGACAATGTAATATCAGCAAAACATAATAATTCATTCATTTTAAGACATTTGGGAAATATGAGCTATAATACACATTATTTGGATATGATTCATGGTAATTAAGAAATAATGATATTACATATAATAATGTAATGTGAACATATTGTCTGTGTGTGAAATGCAATTTCAACACATGTACTTTTCCTTCTGTCATGTAAAAAAACAAAGCTACATTTATGTAAATATTTCCTAAAATGAATAGAAAAATCCATCCTTAGGTATTACAAATAATTGCGAAACTCTGCCAAACAAAGATTCTACCTAAAATTACAATATATCCATATACAAATACATTTAATATTTTATATGAAGGAACAAATATAATACGTAGAAAATACAATATTTCCCATCTAGGAATTACTCAGTATCCTAAGAAAAATATACCATTTCTACCTAACTCTGTCATCACAGTTAGCACAAATTCACAAAAATGTAGAATGCAAAATAACAACAATTGAGAATATAATGGGCTATATGGTACATATGTAAAGAATTTTTAATATACCTTCACAATATAAAATAATTTGAGTCTTTTCTTTAAAAAATATGTTCATAATTAAATAGTAAAATGTGATGTGCTATAAAATTATTACAAAAATAAAAAAAATGTATTATGCAGCATAAATTTACAAAAAAAATTTACACCAAAAAAAAAACTTTCTCCAGTATGCAAACTAAACAATATTCTCACCTCAAGGCATACCCATCAACACGGGCTGACCTTATCTGTAAAAATATTTCCCTTCAATCATTGCATACCATAAAAATAATATAATAATTGCAAATATAACTTTTTATAAAATTTTATAATTTAACAAAAAAAAAATATATTAAATATAAAGATTTCATAATTTGGGAAAAAAAATATTACACATCTAATATATCATATAAATTCCTAACCCATTTATATATATATCAAATGCAGACACTAAATCAAAATAACTATCCACCTCTAACATTGGATATTATTCTGCAGACACTAAATCAAAATAACTATCCACCTCTAACATTGAATATTATTCTAACTTCATCATAATTCAATTCCCTTATTTCATCAAAATGGTTAATTACTTCAAAATAAACCACATTACCTCACCCTCAATGGATCCCTTAATAACATATACCTTAATTGAAACTAAATTACGAATACCATATATTAACATTAATTATTAATAAATGATCCCACACATGTCCATCCCTTTAAAAACCCAATATGCATAATAATAAAACACCTACTCTATTACAAAAGTCCACTTATATATATATTTTTATAAATTTTAAATATTTAGAAATCCTTTCTGTCCTGCTGATCACGAGTAGCTTCCTATGACGGAATACCTATAACACCATTCAATGAATTTACCATTCAATGAATTTTAAGGCATACCAAATAATGATCAAAATTGGATGTACCATATACATCTAGACTTAAGATAATATACCAAATATTACTGTCTTAAATTCCTGATCTTATTTCCATATTTCTGCCTAATACTCATTACCTACTTTCAATCTTCCATTTTTTAAAATTACATATAAAAGTATAGAAATCTTTAAACTCATGTATCTGTATAGTTTTTAGTACATTGCCTTGTCAAAATTTCTCTTATGTAATATGTATACAACAAAAATTTTGTTTTACTTTAAAACCGAATCAACCCACTCTTTCGATCTTGGTCAGCTGGCAACAATATTACAAGTTACCTTAAATATAACAAAAATGCCCTTTACTCTCAATTATAACTATATAAATTAGCATAAAATACTATAAGATATAGCCGGTTGTCGTTGTTATTGTTAAGTATTTCAAAGTTTCCAAACGATTTAAAATTTTTAGGGTGAGATCATGATACTAAAACCCCCATTAGGGATACCCTATAACGCATCCACCTTCTCATTATAAAAGTATAAAAATTTTTACTAAATTTAAATATTTTAAACAGCCGTGATTCTTAGTTTTGACTAATTTTTTCTTAATTCACTATTTCGATTGTGCGATGGAATGGCTAACAGGTTCTTATATTAAGGAAATTCAGATAAATTACACCAGGAATGTAACCCTTCGACAAAAAAGGGTCCGAGTGCTTGGGTTCATAAGAAATTTAACATAGCTTTTTAACATCATTTTTTTTTAAAACCACTTTGGAGAAAAATAAATGTTTTAAAATAAAATCAAAATGACCATAGGCATAGATAGGTGACAGGGAAAATCCCACCTTAGAAAATTCGTCTACTTTCGTAAATATCATTTTAAGCTAATAAAAATTCACCCCCTTTCTCCCCAAAATACATATAATATATTACCAACCAGAATTTAAGAAAAATTACTGAGTTAATAATTTTGTAAAATAACGACATAATTTAAAATTTTTAGAATAAAACATTTTTTATAAAAAAAATAAAAAACCAAAAATATTTTAATAAAATCTATAAGTGGACTAAAGTTAAAATCATAATAAATATTATAGTTAAAATTGGTTCACCTTATCATTTAAATACTATTTATATCTGACCTTATTTAGATTTCCTGTGTTTAAAGTTATTTTTTTATTGGAAAACCACGTTGTCAAAGATTCCCAAGTTCTTGGTAACTAGATGTGAGAAAATTGTATTTTAAAGGTCGGAGTATTTGTTTTTTAATCTTTCGTTGCGAAAACTTATTGATTTGAGAGTGGATGGTCTAATAGCTCTTTTGAAAGTTTGTAATATTATGTTGTTCATAGCATTGTGGCGGTGTTATCATACCCGAGAATATTTGCAATGTTGTGGGTGGTAGTCTTTATTGACAATTATTTTACCAGAGTCAACGCAATTAGATGGTGTCACTGTGTAGGATTAAGCCTAGACTTAGTGCGATAGAGATTCAAAGTTGTTCTTGCGATAGGAGCAAACAGAGTTTAGAGATGTGTTCTACTTTTTGTGCCACCCTTAAGCCATTGGGTTTAAGCTATAGGAACCTATTTGCAACTAGTTATTTCACAAACACTAGAAATTTCTGCCTAATTTTAGGAAATTTTTTAAGACTTTGAAACAAAAAAAAACACGAAAATTGTTATTTTTTAATGGTTATGTATTTAATTTTAATAAAGAATGTACGTATTTTTTGGATCGTTAGAGGGGGTAAATAAATTTTTGTCCTAAAGGCGATAGGTAACCTATAGATGGGAATGTCTAGCAGAAACTTATTCAATTTAGTTAATCTTATTGATGTATTCAAAAATTTAGTTTAAATCAGACATATTTTTTTAGAATTTCTGTTTAAACATATTTATATTATTTTGTTATTTTAGTTTAACTAAAGATAACCGATAAAGATACTATCAATTAGAGAGAATAATATTATCGATTCCGCTATCGTATATAATATGAATAATATAAAAAAACCCAGCCCTGAAGCTTCTGATACAGCAACGGCATCCATATTACAAGGAAGAATTTTTTTAAAATCACTGAAACTAAATAAAATCATATCACTTTATAAGGAAAGATACAAAAATTGATATCATTTATTATACTTATACAAATAGTAAATATAGGTTTCAAACGCCTCTGTTACTGACACTATAAATGGAAAAAATTATCTAAGATAAAATATATACAAGGTAAATAATAATTTTATATTCAAATTTTTGGGTATTTTTATATGAATTATAAAATGTATAATTTAAATAAAGTACAATTGGAAAGGAATACAGAGCAAACTCATATGCAAATAGTATTTTAAAGAAACTGATTGGAGACTTGGCTTAATCAGTTCGTGGAAATTTTTTTAATATAAAATTCTACAATAATAGTCAATTTTCTTTTTTTAAAGATTATATTATATTTTGTATATTCAGAAAAACAGTCCATCCATCATTTCATCTATCTCATAACAAATATTTTGTAAAGGTTGATTTATTTGATATCATAAATGTCTGAAATTTTCGCAGAATCTCTCATCTCTTCTTTTTGCATTTTGGATAATAATTTTTTATTTCCATAGATAAATCACCATAAATTTTTAATAACAGCAGTATATTGGCTATGTTATATATTTTTGATTTATAACCAGAGATTACTCATATTTTATTAATTAAAAATTAAATTAATAAAAAGAAAGTTTAATGCACATGTGGTTGAAATTATAGGAATTGCCAAATAAAATATTAAATACTGATGAAAATCATGAAAATTTATTTATTTATATATATAAACTAGAAACTATAACTAACAAATTTATCTAAACACATTTTATCATGATAGAAACTACTGAACCCGATAAAACTATTGATATAACTACAAGTGGGTATTTTCCTGAAGGAATGCAAGATACAGCCGTAAGAAACATTATTGATGAAAACGTTGAAAATAAAGAAAATAATGAAGAAGATATCCATTTGGGTAATATAAATAAATATGTACATGATTCAGGTAAGTCTGATAAAAATCATGACACAAAAGATATTGACAAACTACTAGAAGTAAAAATTAATCAGGAATTGAAAGAATTGAATCACCAAGATGAACAATGGAATGTTGAAGAAATAAAAAATGACTTGAAAAGAGAAGAATCTGCATCCGAAGAAATCAACGATAAATATGAAACCGATGTCCTACAGGAAAATGATATATCAATCATTTCTGAGCATAATATGGATACGAATCTCGATGATAAAATAATGAGTAATGAATCTATTACACAAGAAAAATTTACAATTGACCTTGATACAATTGATCAAACAAATTTGGAAATTAGTAGAGATGAAAACATAAAAAATGACACAAAAAATATAAATAATGTATATGAAGAAGTTGTTACAGATGATTCAAAAAATATTGTTAATATGATTGGTGATAATAAAAGTCCTAATCATCTTGGTTCTCAAATTACTGATGATAACAAAAATTCTGATCATGTATCTGAAACTATTGATGATAAAAGTTTTTATCATGAGTCTGAATTTATTGATGATAATAAAAGTTCTGAACATGAATCTGAACCTAATAGCTTTGGTCATGAGTCTGAAACCAAAGACTATCTTGATAACACAACTAGAGAACACATGGAAAATTTAATTAAGAAATCAGACAAAAATTTAGAAGAAACTGATTTCAATGAAAATAATCGCATGGAAGAAAAAAATGCCGATCAAACAGAAGATTCTAACAAAATAAATGATATTTATGAAATAAAATTAAACACTGAAACAAACGAGAAAGATGAGAACGAAAGTGAAATAAGCATTGATGACGAAAGTAACGAAGTAAAAAAATAATATATCAACATAAAATTTTACTCTAGGTAAATATCAGCATGATATAAAAACATTTTCAAAGTTATTTATTATTATATAATATCGAAAGGTATAAAGACAATTTGGCGCAGAAAAAATTCGACGCATTTTATTCAAAGTATTAAACAAAAATCTTGACAAATTTTGAAAAAAAATTTTTTTTTGAGCCCTGAAGTATATATTCTTGATTTTATATTAATTAATATAAATGCTTTGTTTTATTTTCTCGAAACTTGATCAATCAGATAAATGTAGTAAATCAAATAGAAACTTTTGGTTGCTACAGCCCTAAGGTAGCTATTTAATTTTAATGATCCCTGATCAAACTAAGGCCTGTATGGAATAAGAGTAATATAAATCATATAAATGTATTTCACAGAAACTTTTTAGCTAACTCCTGGATTTCCCATGTGTGTGAGGGTTAGTACATGAGACTTTTTTTAATAAAAGAGTGTTAATTTTTTAAAAAATAGGGTTACAATTTTTTATATTATTTTCAACCTCAGCCCGAAATTTTTTGGCCCGAGGGAGACTTTTATCTTTTAGCCAGAGCAGGGATTTTCATAATTTAGTTATTTTCAATCATTTTGCCTGCATTTCGAAAATTGTTTTAACGGGAAATTGAAATTATGAGCAGTAAATGAATAATAAACACTTCGTTATATGATTGCTCAACATTTCCCAACTTCTTAAATAATTATAAATTTTTTTTTCAATTTTTCTAAGCGCGGACTGACTCAAATGATTGATTTTTTTAAACCAGCCCCAGATTTTTAAAATTATATCCTTCTTAGGTCTGATCCTGGAGGATGACTAAGATGAAAACCGGTCCCAACGTCAACCTACCTGAAAATCCCGGTCCCACGAATTCTGCCGATCCCTCTCCCTATCCCTCGGTAGAACAGCCCGCGGTCGTGGCCCCAAACATTTCAGCCGGGTTTTGGATTTGCACTGATAAAAATAATAATTAAGGTCTGGCTAAAGAAAAAAATTATATATAATATATATTTCAAAGACCTGCCGAGGTCAAAATAAGGATATTTTATGCAGCTCTAATTTTTTAATCATTTTAACACTCGGCTAGGAATTTGTAAAATTGTGTTATTTTGAATAATTTTGGCTGTAATTTGTAAATTGTTTTGATAGGATATTGAAACTTTAAAATTTAGGGCGATAGAAAATTTTTAAAACTTAAATTCTTTATAGCGCGCTTTTTTTATTTCATAAATACAAGATTTTACCAGAATAATTAGTATCTACCTTGTGAATTTCAGACAATTTTGCCATAAAATTTTGTGTATACTCTAATTTATATCAAAAATCTATATACTATCCAAGGCAAGGAATCACAGCCCTGAATTTTCTTACGTATGATATAGTGTTAAAAATTGATAAAGTTATTAAAAGACGAGTATAATTAGTAATATATTTTTCGCAATCCCTTATGCCAAAGAGTATCATTTTTCGCCCATAGCCAACTTGAACATATATAAATTTCAGTGGCTATTAAGGATAAAAGGGAAGATGAATAAAAACAAGAAATGAATTGTTGTTGCTATCGTTAAGCAAGTGCATCCAAGGATCAGCGTCTGCATGACAGAAAATTCACTGGAGATAAACTCCCCTCTAAAACCTATACCTACCTCCCCTAACTTTTAATTACTTATTTTTAAAAAAAAATTATTATGACCTAAATATCAAGCTTCTAGTTTAGCTACATTAAATGATTGACAAATACTATTTATTAATAACAACATTTATGGAAATTAATATAATTGTAATATATAAATCAGGGAATTATTATATAAAGAATACTAAAAAAATTAATTTTATGTTTAGCAGGAAACTTTATTTTAAGACTATATTGTGTGCAATGAATGATCGATGTTTAGAATCAATGTATATTCAAAATATTTGCTCTATTTCATCCAAAATATAATTGATAGCACCCCAATAAATTTAACCCCTAGATGCCTACCCTATACACCTTTCGATGCCTACCACCTAACATCTTCAAAAAATTTGGAAGCAAACTGCTCTTACACCCCCCCCCCCCCAATCCCCACCCTCTCGCCACTTATGTAAACGCTGACAAGGATATAATATAGTGCACTTTTTTTTAATTTAGGCCACTTTGTTTTTATTATATTATACTAGACTGGCAAAAGCATAAGAAAATTTATCATAAAATAATTTGTCACGCCACAAGAAAAGTAGAAAAGTCTTAGATTTATAATAATTTTTTAAAAAAAATCAATAATGCCTTTATTTAAATGGGTGCTAATTTTTGAAAAATAGATAACCAATTCATTTTAATTGGCGCTTATTTTTTAAAAGGAGGTGCTGCAGTACCCGAATGAGCTAATGATACGCCTGATTTACCAGAATTAGTTACGGGCACTATCATAATTTAAATAAAAATATTACATAAATTCTTTCTATGGGATATGGAATAAAAAAGAAAATTTTTCGCAAAGTTTTTACAATTTCATTTTAAAAATTCTAATTTGTTTAATAAAATGCGCCAAATTTCGCTGAGCCAATTTATCAACCCAGATATTTCATGCGCCGCAGGAATTATCTTGTGACTATCGAAGACATGGAATATAATTTAAAGATAATGAGTGTTAAAAATATTTAATTATAATAATTACGACTTAATATAGAATGCAACTAATCGGAATGAATTTAATAATACAATCTAGTAGCTACTTCTAGTTTCTACTACATCTAAATCAACAACTAATAAATCAGATAAACATGTTTCGTTTATATTGTTTAAAATATTATCATAATATTAAATAGACAGGATTTATAAAATTTTGATTTTCATTAAATGTTAATTCTCTTTGAATTCTCTGAATATCATTACATCATAGTTATAATCACAAAAAAATTAATTAATACAACAAATAAAGGGGGACTATATTTGTGAATACAAACGGGCCTGGAGTTAGAGACTATATTAAACTTTATAATTTTTTTCAATTAAATTTAAATATTTGGCTAAAATTTGGAGAAGAGAAACCCCTTGTAATGATTTTACTACCCAAAAAGCGTCAAACATCAACACTCATTCCATGACTCAAAAAATCTACTTATTGCTTATTAATACGATGAGATGTATATATCTCCTTTATATATGTGATTATAATAAGATAATAAAAATGGTCGAGTTTTCTTTTTTTCTCAATAAATATCCACTCTTGTATTTTTGAGTAATTTCATAGAATAACTTATAAACCAAATAAAATGTGACAATTATAATGATATTCGAATGGTCATAAGAAGGCGGCACTAGGCTTATTGATTTGCGGAATTTTAAAAATTAAATTACAGCTGGGCAAAATAGATAACTATTCTTCCATGATAATTTATATAAAGTTGATATCTTAAATTATATGTGTTTTATATCGTCTAGTGGAAAAAACCTGTTATAAAATTATAGCATTAATTAAATTGAGGGAGGTAGTTAATACATTTGAAGTTTAATAAATAATATTAATACTTTGAAAGAGGATGTGAAGAAAAGAAGACCCCATAAAAATATCATTGGAAAACCTCAGAAATAATAACCAGGGGAAGAACACCTGAGATGGTATATGGAAAGTGCCAGTTTTGATAAATTACGCTTTAGTGATTTTAAAAGAAAATAATGGACGTAGACAGGGTATACCAATTGCATGGCCTAGTCTGGATTTGTAAAAAAAAATTCAGCTCTGCCAGGATATTTTAATTTTTGTCCCCGGCCCGGATTTAAAAAAAAATTAAAATTATCGGTCCAGTCAGGGTATATATTTTATTTTTATTAAATAGTTTTGAAATGATACCGGAAATATGAGAAGTGAATGAATGTGATATATTATTCAATTATACAACAATTTTTAAATAAATTTTATTTCATGTGATTTAAATTTTCAATCTGGGCCGGCCAGAATTTATGGGAAAATTTTTTTATTGCCCGGCCTGGGATTATTTTAAAAAAAATTCTGCAGTCCTGGCCGTATATCCTGACCGAAAAGTCTCTGATATAAAATGACCAATTATATTGTGTATAATGAATGTATATAGAAACTTTCAGAAGCACCTATTTTAATTTTCAGGTCCGCTATGGGTTAAAACTGACGGTTATTTTTAAGTCCGATATTGGTTCAAATTATATTCTCAAGCACGGTCTGGATTTATAAATTTGGTTTTGAGGTCCCTCCAGGTATTTAGATTTTGCCATTATAAGAGTGTTCAGTTCGACTGGGCAGTATTGCTCGGAGGAGATAATGTCCAGTGAGAGAATACCCACCCCTGGGGAAAGATTTCACATTATCTCTTTATAAGCAACAAATATTATTTATGATGATTTTTAGTTATTTGAAAGTTTCTAGTTTATCTATAAGTTTTTAATTCAAGATAACAACCTTAATGTTATTGAGGTTAAGGGGCATAAAGATATCTTAAAAATTAAATTGAAAAACAATTGAAATTTTCTAATAGTATTATTAAATTGTTTTTACAAGCAAAGCAATTCGCTGATGAGGGAGGAAATTAAAAGAGATTGGCATCGCATGAAAAATTATATCTAATCATCTAGTTTCTCATGTGGAATAAAGTATTTTTATTCCATATTTAGAAATTTTAATTGTATCATTCGAATTAAAATTCGGTGAAAATACTAAAAAATTATGGATTTTTAGTAATTTAATTGCCTTCCCATCAAATGTTAAATTCAGGGAATGAGTTTTATGAAATGGTAGAAAAATTATCTCAATTTTATAATATAGACAATTTCTATGAAGAAGCTAACGTTTGTTATTAAATGTGAAAAGAGATAAGATAAACACAAGCAATTTTCTGATTTCAATAAAATTAATATTTCCAGGTTACTAGAAGACCACATATTTATAACCTTATCACTACCTATTACGACATGTACAAAGGTTTTATCAAAGAGTCAAAACTATTTTCGGTCAAAAATCTTCATTAGGTATATAAATATTGATCAAATCGAACACAAATTTTTTAGAGAAATTATTTCAATATTTTTACAAAAGTCAAGGGGATTGAAAGTAGAATTTAAATTTATCATATTTTCAGCGTCTACATGAGCGGGAGGGGTAGGAACAGTTTGCATCCTATTTTTTTGAGAGGGGTAGGGGATAGGCTGCTTTAATGGGGGTAGGATAAATTTTTTGGGGGCTTATCTATTAAATTTTGAGATCCAAAATTTATTGCTGTAAAAATTAATACTTTTATTATAGAATTATTATAATACAATTCATCGACCAAATCTATATATTGACAACAATCGTACACATTGTTTCCCAAATAAAACTTTCTGCTATCCTTTTAAATGTAATTTAAAAGGTTGATATTTCAGCAAGCTCATAATGTCATAATAATTAATTCATTGTATATAATGGAGGTTTTAATTGAATTCATTATCTAAAAAATAAATTCTGTATATTCACAAAATATTGATAGTTGGTAGTAGAGATGGATTAATTTAAGTTATCCTAGATAAATTAACTAAAAAGAGTATCAATAAATTAAAAAGGTGAAAATAATAATAGACAGACACCGCCGCCGAAGGCGGCGAAATTTTTTAGGGGGTAGGCAAAGGTTTTTGAAGGAGGTTTGCATCCAGTGAAAATTTTGTCATGTAGACGCTGCATATTTTAACCTATAAATTATACACTGTGTTTGAACTATTACCATTATTTTAGCAATAACTCTTTCAATTCTAGGAATAATTCAATAAAATTTTAATGATGGAGGGAGGGATAAATTATCAATGTTTTCTGCAAATTTCCAAAAATACCATAAACAGAGTCCAAATTTATGCACATTAGTTGGACAAACAAAATTCTAACTTTTCAACTTGTAAAAATTCATTTTTTTACTTTTTTAAAATTAAACTTTACGTCCTATCAGACGATAATAAAAAAAGGATCTTCAGTAAAGATGTCTTGTGTTCAATTAAAATTAAACAAGAAAAACATTACGGGGCTTTGAAGGAATTTCCTAATAGAAACTGGTCTATCACAGCCTTGAATAGATTGATGCACCTGATCAGCAGGAAAACATTATGGTTGGCAGACCACGCACAGCAGGTACTATTGTGGAAAATGTTGATCCTGCTGAAACACCACTCGTATTCAGTCAAGATCAATTAATACCCACAGAATAATTTGTCATGTATCCTGAGGGTATTTCGCAAACTTCACTGCATTGGATTATCCACAAAGAGTTGCAGATGAAATTTTTTAAAAGAAACAAGCCCAGGACCTAATCGATGAGAATAATATTGCTTTTCTGGTATGTACCAAACAATTTCTACATAAATACATACCCTCAGAGATTAGTTCATTTCATATGGTTCGCGGATAAGAATCTGTTTATAATAACTTCATCGATAAATCTGTAAAATTATAGGGTGTACGTTGCAGTTTCAATGAAAAAAAAATAAGTTACAATATGACTCAAATTAATTTTAAATGCTGATGTTTTCATGTTTTTGTCGAATGTAAAGTTTAATAAAAAAATGAATTTTTACATGAAAGTTAATTTTGCTTATCCAATTTTGAATGTGCATAATTTGTCCCTGTTGGTAGAATTTGATATTTGAATAACATTATAATTTATCCCTCTCACAACCTATAAAACATTATTGAATTATTTTTAGAATTGATAGATTTATTGCTAAAACAAAATGGATATCAGTTCAATTAGAACACAGTATATTTTATTTTTAGGATAGCAGGGAAGCTTTATTATTTATAAAATATTCATATAAATTTAAGAAGGTAAAAAAGATAGAATATGCGATTCGTTCTAATTATTTGATTAATGAATAATTTGAATATTCGACGAATTATTTGAATAATTTATATATTTAAAAACTTATTCCGTTTCAATTCTTCGAATAATTTTATTTTTGATAAAATTTTAATTGTCATTTCTATTTAACTTATCAAAAATGATGAGTTTTATGAAAAATACACATCAACTGTTGGTGGAAGGCGTTTTTGGTTGGAACTAATTTTCTATCATATCTCATGTCTTATTAAGAGAAACAATAAGAAAAACTCTTCGCCTTAAAAATTGGTTTGAAATTATAAAATAAATGAATATGCATAATTTCGTTAATAACTGATCACATGTTAATAATTATCAGATTTTCTGAATGTGCAATAAAAAAAATTAAAAATTCTGTCAATATTTAAAAACGAAATTATTTGAATCGAATACAAATATTAAATCTTATTATAAATACGAATAGTAAATTAATAGATTCCTTTAAACTAATCGAATAAGAATAATGCACTATTCGATTCGTATTCGTTTTGAATAAAAGCAATAAAAACCTATGTAAAATTTTTTCTTCAAAAAATGCAACTTTACCTATATTTTTTATAAAATACATTTTACATTCTCCTAAAAAAATTCCTACGGGGCATTACCCGAGTCGGGCTTTATATATTTCTATTGATCCCCCTCTTAAATTTATTTTCACTAAATATAGAATTAATATATAAAATACAATTGACCCTTCAGAACAAAGAATTTTATAATCTAGGCAATACAACGATAAAATATTTTGACCTGAGTTTTAGAGTAGTTGAATATTTTGTAATAATGTATATTTATATATCTACCATATGATGATTAATTTGATGGTTTTTGAAAAATTTGAAATTTGTCAAGCTGGGATAAAATAGACCCCACCTTCGTACTAAGGTAAATTATTTTTGAAATCCAGATTTTTTATCACTTTGTATATGGCAAACTATTATGAATTGAAAAAATATTTTTTTATTTTTTGATCAATAATGTGATTTATTTTTTTTATCTCTGAAAGTAATGTTTTCCAAATTTATATGTAAAGACAATAGCATATTGCTGTAAATTTCTTTCTAAAATATGCATATTTGATGTTATACATTTTGCTTAGTTGATGTTTTGTTATAAAAATTATAAAATTACATTCAATATTGAATTAATAAAATTCTCAAATTTGCATTTTTTTAAAAATTATTGTATCATATGATTAAAGGAAGGTTCCACAAATTTTAATATTTAGACATATAGTTGTATAAAATTTTGGGTAAATTGTTCACCTTACTCAAAATTATTTGTCATAAGGGAGTTTTTCCACCTATGACGGTTAAGTCATCATATATTTTTAAATTTTTTTATTAAAAACAGTTGCATTATATGTTTCAATTAACAACATGATATAATATCATTTTTGTTTTAACGATATTAATGACATTATATGCAAATATTTGGCAAACAAATTTATTTTCGATATATTTATTATACATATATTTAATATGCCAATATATTTAATTGATTTTTTGATCGCCTTACTTCGTAAACTACAAAAATTGTGTAAAATATTTTACGGGCCAGAATTCGAAAGTGGCTAAATTAGGGCAAATTTTTAAGCCCGTGTAAAGAAATTTACATGTCAAGAAAAACCCGTTTAAGCCGGTTCGAGCACCGCTCCCTCTTACAATAAAAAATTTTTTTTAAAAAAAATCTGATCATTTATATCATTATAATTAAGTAAATAAACAATTTCCTACTTTCTTAAACTAATTAAACAATCTGTATTTGATTATTAAAAAAATAGGTGGTTCGCCCAGCCGATCTTCTAAATATAATCAATAACAATAAAAATAATATGAGTTCAATTATAATAAATAATAATTTCATTTATAACATATTTAGCTTATTAGAAATTAAATTTTGATGAAAATATTGTACAATTTAAATATTTTACTAAGTTGGTTTGGCAAGATAATTATTAAAATTCAATATTTTTTTGGATAAAAAATTGCTATTCGATTCCAACAAAATTTGGACCATTAGCCTTAATTCATTTAATATTTATCTGTGATTTTCCCTAAATATTTATATTTATTATTGATTTTTTTGGTCGATTTTCTTTTTCGTAATTTATAAAAAAAAAGGTTTCTTATTTTTATATCAAATATATTATTTATGAACTATGACACGCGCAATATAAGAATGCCAAATATATGATTTTATCATGTATCTAATATGAAAATATAAGTTAAATACGAGGATATTAAATTTGGACACAAATCATGGCTAATCACAAAAAATAATTATAAATAAAATTTGTTTTAGAGTTCAAGGCCAATGTTAAATTTTGATTTCTGAACAAATGTTTTAATTTTTTCAAAATCATTATTATTATTTGAATCACCTAATGATATTTATAGTCTTATTTAATTGATAAATTGTTATTCAATATATATACACTTGAAAATTTGGATATCAATTAAATTATTTTAATAAAAATTGTATAATTTTTTAGAACGAATATAAAATGTCCGAAAACGATACAACCCTTGAATCCGATGTTAAACCTGAAGATGAAATTGAGAAAGAAATCTTGCCTAACGAAGAACCCGTTGCTGAGAGTAATGAAGAAGGTGAAAATAAATATCCAACTTACCTTGAGGACGATAAAACAGCCCTGATAGAAAAAGAAGTACGTAGGGCATCCCAGCAATATTACGAAAATCTAGAAGATTCCGCGGAAATACATGAAGAATCACCACCCCTAGAGGAAAGAGTTCACAGTAAAGAAAAGTCTCGCGATAAACAAATTCGATTTGAAGAAATCGAAGAAAAAACGAATGATGAACAAGAACCAATTGACAAAAATGATGATAATCAAGATTTGCAAAAAATTGAAGAGCCAATTGCCAAAGAGGAAAAGGAAGTCAGTGTAGCAAAAGAAACTTTTAGTCGAAAATCAGGTGGAAATGAAGATTTTTCACTACAACCCGAACAGCCCACTTTGAGAGAACGCAAAGCAAGTAAGGATATGGAAAAACATATACGTATTAGAAAAATTGAAAGAAAATTAAGTAGCGAGTTTTCAAATGATTCATATGAGAATAAAAAAAAGGAAACACCAACAACCAATATTTCAAGTAACAGAAGAAGTAAAGATCTTACCAGCAGTGATATTGTGCCTAGACAAAGAAAAATAGAAAGTAATTATGAGCCACCTCGAGATTATAGCACGACACCAAAATCCCGTGACACAATTAAAAGAGATCGATCATTCAAATCACCTGTTAAAGTTCCCAACTATAGTACTCGAGAGAAGAAAGCTGAAAATTATTTTTCAATGGATAATTATTATCCTGGTAAATTCAGTTCAACTCCACGTACTGATACGAAAAAGATTAATACCAGTCAAAAATGTATCGATGAATTTAATACAAATTATGGAGCCTCATCTAAAAGTGCAGGTTCTGAATCGCGCTCGTCAACACCTACCACTGACTTCATTAAAACTCTTTCAGATAAAACAGGACATAGTCCTATTACTAGATCTTTATATGAGACTAACTTGGATAATTTCAATAGCAGCTTCACTGATTTTAATTACAAACCGGTAAGTTCATATTTATCTTCTACCAATTATTCTTATCCCAAAGCTCGCAATTTGTATGATCCATATTATTATTATAATGACTATCGTTATTATCCATATCATAGAACATACAATAACTATTCAACTCCTTATTATTCGTCTTCCTATTATACGCCGACTTCCAGTTACGTGCGAACTTACACGAATGATAATGACTCTTATTTTTATCCAAGAGGAGGCTTGTATTCTCCCAGACTGTATGATGATGTCTACTCAGTTAAAGACGTTTACAATGTGGCCGATAGAATTACTTCAAATGCTGAAAGTACTTTGAACACTTTCACTTCAAATTCTGTTTACCCTTATTTTAATGAATATCTTGATTCCAATTATAATTTTTATCCTAACGTGGGTTATAAATCTATTAATTATAGTTATCCATCATACTTGTCTGCTTATTAATTAAATATTCAGAAGTCTACTTTTATTTTAACGGAATGTTTTACAATATCAAATCATTTTCAATATTATGCCCCGAAATTTTTGAATTTTATATTATAGGCATCTACCACAATTAGAATTACGAATTTATCTTATAGATGCAATGTATAAAATAATATATTATAACCGTTGCATGTCAATATTTATTATAATATAGATAGTCGATAATAAAGAAGTGTAATAAAATCGATTGATCGAAACTCAAAATCATAAATTATCATGAGCGATTGTCTAACTCTTTAATATATAGAAAAAATTAAGTTTATTATTTTCTACACAGAGTAGAAAATACCGATATATTGTTCTAATCTAATAAATAATTTAAAACTTATTTTTTGATAAATAGAGAGGAATAAGAAGATTAAACAAAATTTACCAAAATTTTTGTTGTTTATTTTTATTATCGTATAATGAATATTAGTAACTTAATCTGTTCTATATGATTGAAATAATTCACAATGGTACCTATTAATCGATCTTGCTTTGTATTGTCATTGTATGCCATATTTTTTACTTTTATCATTTTCTTTCATTTGCAAAAAAAGTAAAAACCGTCATCAGGGTCTGCATAATTATTCTGGGTTGAAATGGAAGGAAATGAACTGTCTATTATACACTCATTAAGTGCTACAATTTAATAGCAAGTTTGAATAAGATGTTTACTATTTTCTAGCCCTTTTACTTTCAACATCTGATATTAATATTTTATATTAGCGATCAAGATAAACATGCACTTAATCGATGATTTTTTATACTCATTTCCTTTGGTTTTATAGATAAAATTAGCAAATTTCTAAATGTGTATTGAGATTATTTATTTAAGAAGTATCGGGACATCAGTACTGGGTAGAATTTCATCGGCAAAACAGGTAAAATAGATGGAGAAGTCAAAATATTTAATAACATATAAACATAAAATTTTGTCACTTTATAGGAAAAATAAAAGGCGTAACAAATATTTATAAATAAAAAGCACGATAATTTATCAAAATATAAAAATAGGATGTGTTTGTTTTTACTCTTAAATCGTACAATGTAATCCCGACAATTTTCTTTAACCTATGATCTTATTTTATTAATGTTACAATATCTAATAACCCAGAAACAGATGCAAAAGTATAGTCTTTTTGGGCCTAATCAGTTAAACCGTTTTTCCAGTTTATTATCTCAATACAGTTAACCACTTACATTCGCCTGGGCTTTCTATTTTAATGGGCACACCGAATATAATTACAAAAACTGACTTTCTTAACCCCTTTACTTTGGATATTAACGTTTTCTTTCGCCCCTTAATTACCAAATTATTCAAGCGTGAATAATATAAAGTAATTACCAAAAATGATATTTTTTATAAGGAACAGTATAATATTGCTAGGTATATAAATAATAAATAGAAATTCTAATATTAATTGTTTACTGAAAACAGCCAAAATCGTTTGATTTCTTATCTATTTCCAGAGAAGTCTGGCTTTATTAATAAGTTTATCTTCTTGAGATTTTTAATTTAAACATTAATTTAGGTGAAAAGTGTGGTATGCATACTGGACACCAGTAACATCGATGAAAGTAACGCCGTTACTTTTCTGAAGAAAAGAAATGCAATTCTATACTTGTTTTAATAACGAATAAAGAGAAACACGTTTCTATTTTTTGAGCAACGGTGCAAAACGTTACTCGTTACTTTAAGCTTTTTCTTAAAAAATATGAAAAAAATATTTTTTATTTTATTATATAAAACATTTATTAAATAATTTAAGCCGATTTTTTAATTCATATCAACAACCAGTTATTCATTAAATTTATTTATTACATTTTTGTTGTTAAATATTATAGCCAGGCAGGATTGTTCAAATTAATATTGAATAAATCAAAATATATAAATTTATATTTTCTAATATTCAGAATGGTTAATATTGTATCTAGTTACAAAAATGTGGTACTTAGTTATACTTTTAAAACAAGTATCTATTAGATACTATTTTAGAGGTATCTATTTTTAGATAAAAAAAATATATAGAATAATAAAACTTATATATAGAAAATTTATAAATATTCATTAAATATTACTTTTATCCATTTAATTTTATAGATATTAGTTTAAGATTCTAAGGGATATTTTCATCATTTAGAGGAATATATAAATCATTGCTTAGCCGTGATACCCATTAATTTTTAAAAACTACCGTTGATTCACAAAATTACTTGAAAAAGAAATTTATTTACAATTTGTTACAATAATTTTATTAATTTTTTAATAATGTTTTAAATGAGAATTTGTCTAAACGATAAAAATAGGAGTATTGACTTTTTGTTATATTATGTTCGAATTGAATGAGAACAAAATGTAAAAATGTTGTTTGCGTATTTTGTGCTCTCATAATAAGAGTTTCTGTTTCTAAACAAGTGCGAACCCTATATAAAAGTATAATAGAAATGTTATTGCCAAATTGTATCTTTTAACAACTCTGCTAATATTATAACTTATTTTATAAAGAATATGTGTCAATAGCACCTATTTCTTTAGATGAAGATAGTATGAAACATTTTCTACACCATTAATTAAGGACACTATGTTTACACTTTGCAAGTGTAGATCATTCCCTAATTCAAATATTTCAACCTCGATATATGAATTCAGGTTAAATTCTGATAAAGATAAAAAAAAATTGATAAGGATCTGAATGAAGATTCTTGTGAAAATGAACAAGATCATTCTTTAAAATTTTTTACCCCAATTAAAATTGTTATTTATCAAATATAATAAACCCTCCCATCCTCTGCGCCAGTTATAGGTGTAAGCGCGCTTGTTCTGATCAAAATTTTGAAAATCAATTGTTAAAAATAAAGAAAAAATTATACCTATTTTTTTATAATTTTATTTTTATTATCTATGGTGGAAAAAATAAATAAAAGGAAAATTTTTATATCATATTTATTTTTTTAAGTAACGAGTAACGCATTCCTTTCTTCACAAAGAAACGAATAACGGTATTGCATTTCTTTTTTCAAACGTAACATGTAATGAATAACACATTTCTGTTTTAAAGTAACGTTTACAGTACTACTGGATATCTATGAAACTGATAAATCCACTACTTCTTTAAATAGTTATGTTTGTTTCAGAAATACCGAATATTATTTGAAACGATATCTTATCTATTCAAAAAAACACAATCGCCACTAGATTTTTGTTAAAAATTTTTTGCTTTATCTGTGATATTTTTAATTGCCGAGAGAAGGGTCACCTTTGAAACAATTTTTATTTCAAGGAGTATAATACAATTACTTTAAGTCTGAATTTACTGTGGAGTGGTGTATGCGGAATATGTGTAATTATGTGCTAAAAAATAACTTGAACGGCAACTTAAAAAGTTTACTAATGTGGAATAAAGATAATTAAGAAAAAACGACTTATATGTAAAAAAACCTTAACAAACAAACTAAAACAAAAACAAAATCTACCTAAACAAATCCTCGAAACCTACTCAACGCTTCTAAAATAAAAACAAATCCTAGAGACTAACCCAACACTTCTAAAAGAAAAAACAAATTTATTTTCGATAATATCAATAATAATATCATTTCATAAAAAAATAAAATGAATAAAATCATTTCAAATATAACTACAAAATTACATAAAAAAAACACGTGATTATGAGTGACGTGTTATAATATATACTATATATATTTATAACTACAATTATATCTAATGTAAAAAAAAATATATAATGTAAACGTACGACATGCCACCCCTTTATGGGATCGTGGCATATCGTTAAATATAAAACAAAAACGCGGAAACAAAATATCTACAAAAAAAAACTTACGACATTATTTAAAGAATAATCTTCTTAAATAGACATTGGATTCACCCAGAAATCATCAGCTCGTGCCGTTTGCGAAGCATCAGCTATTAGTGTATTGGTCACTAATCTCTGCAAAAAATCTCCTCCATCTGTACCTCGGACTCCATTCACGAACTGATCCCGAACATCCACACGACGAATATCCACGGAAGGTCTCTTTAACGGAAATCCATCTTTAAACCTTTGCTCCGGGACTACGCAGGTATCCCTTTTATGTCCTCGCCATCCGCAACGATGGCAAATGATCATTTCCACAAATCTTTTATTTTCCGACAATCCTTTATTTTCCTCGTAATCATTAAATTTCTTATTCATATTTCTATCACCCACCTGGCTCTTAACCGGACTTTTGCTCTCCTTTATCAACGCATTGATGGCTTCTTTCATTTCTTTCCAGAAGGATCCTATCTGACCTTTCCCCAACATTTCCAGCCTTGATTTCCTCTAAAACATCTTTTAGATTACTTTCCAAGTCTGCTATCTTCCCATAAATATCCGATATTAAATTAAAATACGTTTCCTCAATTTTTTTTATAAACATCTGACACCGCAGTGTCCTTCTTCCAATTGCAATACATGCCTGCCAGTATCGCAGTACCCCTTTTTAACAAATATTTCACCATAATGATCAATATATAAATTATTACCAATATTCCAATTACCATGCCCTGCTTAATTATATCCAACTCAAATTTTTATACAAAACTTTAAGACCCAAAGTCTTATATAGTGAAATCTTAGCGGCCACACTATAATCATCATGATACCTAAAAAATGAACCATTTGGTCATGAATCTTTTAGTCAATACTAATACTCAATTACAACTTTAAATATTTGTAGAAAATATTAAAACAGCACCTTAAATTAAACTTCACTAGCAAAATCGTATAATGGTTAGTACAAAGGCGCAGTCAAAAATTCTAAAAAAATTATATAATTAAAAATTTTTTGTTTTACCTTCTAAACCGAATAACTCCTGGGAAACTATCAGCGTCACAAGGCACCGCTAAAAAAATCTTAACACACAAACTAAAACAAAATCTACCTAAACAAATCCTCGAAACCAACTCAACGCTTCTAAAATAAAAACAAATCCTAGAGACTAACCCAACACTTCTAAAAGAAAAAACAAATTTATTTTCGATAATATCAATAATAATTTCATTTCATAAAAAAAGATAAAATAAAATGAATAAAATCATTTCAAATATAACTACAAAATTACATAAAAAAAACACGTGATTATGAGTGACGTGTTATATACTATATATATTTATAACTACAATTATATCTAATGTAAAAAAATATATATAATGTAAACGTATTTACGAATACGACAATATGTTATCTAGTGTTCCAATTGTATGAAGAACAATGCCACCCAAGTAGGTAAGAAAAACTGTGAATCGATTCTTTCAAATATTTAAGGTTAACCTGAGTGATGTCAAATTATATGGGGATTTAAGTATAGAAAACTAAAATTGCATGAAGATAGAGATATGCGTGGGAAATTATATTAAAAAATATGTAAGACTCGATCATAAGAACAAAGGTGTGCATCCCCCATTTCCCAAAAATTCAGATGATGGCTAAAATATTTTCCAAAAATATTAGTGTTTTATGATTGATATGAAATTAGCTGAAAACAATAGGAATCCCATAATGCATTACTAGTTGAAAGTAAACTATGGTAAAAGAGGTTAACTATGGTTGGTAATTATTATATATATGTATTATCGAAGCATTAAATAATCATCATTAATTCTTAATTGTCAAAGGTAATCATAATAATATTCTCTTCATAGCATTCTATAATCTTTTTCATAAAAAAAAGAATCACATGATTCAAAAATAATAATCTCTCTTCTTGAAAATATATATTGAAAAACCTCAATATCTATCAACAGTGGCGAGCTACGAATTTATCTTAGAGGGGGTCCATACATATAAAATCCTGGGGGCTTCGTCCCCAGACCCCCTTTAACGGGTCTTCGGCTCTTTTGCCCGGCCTTCGTCCGGGTTCTTAAAAATCATAACCACATCCTTGACAATATATAATAAATATTTTTTTTAATGCATGAATAATATGTTATTCTAATAATACTACCAAGAATAATTTCAATAGTAATATAATATCCTTCCACAAACATCAAAACCAGAAAAATATTAATATTAATGGTATTTATTTGATATAAAGTCACTATTAAGTCTTTTGAACGTATAATCTAAAAAAAATTGCTCTGGGAGGGGTCCAAACCCGAAAACCACCCCCGTAGCTACGCCGCTGCCTGTATACAAATCGACAGATAGAACTGTAATGTTACAAAAAATGCTGATGCTTTACATTATTATTTCAAACATTTAAAATATTTCCTACATATCAAAATTATACATTTAGCAATGCATATATGTCATTGATATTTAGGCAACTCTACCCATGGTACTTTAATGAAAGGATATTCTCTTCTTTAACAAAAATAAAAACATAACTGAGAAGTAGTGTTGTTAAATGACTTGATTTTCCCGATTTTTAAAAACGACTAGCTCAATATTTTTGCCAGTGAAAAAGAGCGCTTGGAACACTTGATTTAAAATAAAAAAATTTCACTTTATTTATATTTCTTATCGTTTATATATCTTTTTTCAACTATTAATTAGAATATAAAATCAAAAGGTTATGTTATAAAACGAAAAACAAAACTAAAAATAGAAGTAACAGAATTAATTTAATGAATGCGCGTTACATAAAATTTAAACATATTACTATTTAATAACTAAAATATATATTTTAATTTATTAATTCCTATTATATAACACCAGGAAAATACTGGCGTAGCCTTGCGGTTTCTTTAATGGATTTCTAAACCTTTGTCACATGAGCAAATTCCTCTTGCTTGTGCAATATTTTCCTGAATAAAATATTGATTTTATAGTTTAAAAAAAATTGAATAAAATTGTGCCGTATAACAACACTACTGAGAACTACTACCTCTGAAAATAAATTGAATTGATTGGCCATTCTAAATATATATAGGGAGTTGACACATACCACTGATAAAATTATGTTTTTCAATCCAAAGATTGAATATCATATTATAGATTTGTAATATGCTTCTTAATTATATTTTCCCCCCTTTTTCAATACACCATATTTTTATTTTTGTGCATCGAATCTATATTTCCATCATTTATTTTTTAAAATATAATTTAAATTTTTATCAAATTTTAAATGCTTAAAAAATGTATATTTATTTACAAACTTCTTTTTCGAGAAATTTATCTTATAGTGATTCATAATAATCAATTTATATTTGGATTTATGTATTAGGAATTGTGAATATTTTATAGTCACTAGTCCTAATAATTTCTGAATCTTAAGATATTCTTAAATAATTCCTAAAATACTTCTTTATGTCTCATGAATCTTGATAAAACTATTTATTCATGACAATTATAATTAACTAAATCTGATAATTTATTATATTACTAGCTTTATATATTTATAAAAATCAATAGAAAATAACGTGTTGTTTGTGACTCTGACCTGATTTAAAATGCATTTCCTTAGTCTATTTCTGATAATGAAAAAATACATAAATTTAAATAGGAGACAGAAAATAATTTAAGAATTAAACTATTATAGCAATGTTAGAACTAAGGGTGCCCAAATTTATAAAAAAATGTAATGCATTAAATTATAAATTAAATTATTTAAAATAAATAGGGCACCATCGCCAATTCATTAAGCAGCGACGAAATTTGCACTATGGCAAACATAGATAATTTTTTTTAAAAAACCACTGCTGTTAAATTATTTGGCATACAGGTCTATATATAGAACATTAAACTGCAAATTAATCAGGATTCTAAGTAAATTATTGATTAAAATTGTTCAATTATCTAATTACATTCTTTAAGAAATTGCAAGTTTTTATCAACAATATTATTTTTATATATTTTCTAGATTTTGGCCAAATATTTTTATGAAAATAATTATTTTTCCAAATTTTTTTTACATTTTCTAGATAACAGTCAAATTTATTTTTGATTATTGGAGAAAGGCTTTCTATATTTTCTAGATTTTGGGGTACAATCATACTAGAAACAAAATAAAAATATGTAAACTTTAAAAGAAAAGGAGATATAATTAAGATTAATCCAGAAAAAGGAAAATAATTAAAATAATCTACTGAAGGAAAGGGAGATATAATTAATTTCTCCAGAAGGGAGAAAAAAAATTGAAAATAATTAAAATTAAAGTTACACCAGAAAAGGAATATGTATCAAACAGAGTCACCATTTGCACAGCCAAGATTTTTTTTAAAAAAATTTTCTTTGACCTGGCCCGGGTTTTATATATCTTTTTAAAAAAATATTAAGGCATAGCCCTGATTTTTTTAAAATATATTATATATTTGGTTTTAAAATATAGAGCCAGGCTTAGGTATTTTTTTTAAAAAAAAAATTTAAGTCTGGCCTTGGTATATTTAAAAAAATTAAAATATATATAAAAAAAATGAAAATAATTTTAAAAAACGCCAAAGAAAGGGTGAATGTATAAAAAAAAATTACTACAAGGAAAGGGAGAGAATGATAAAATTAAAATAACCTCCAGAAAGGGAGAGAATAGAAAAAGAATAATTAATAAAATAACTCCAAAAGTCAAATAAAATGGGAGAAAATTTAAAATATAAAAAAAGGAAATAAAATTAAATTATAAAAAATAAAGATATAAATCTCTATTGAAAGGGACAAGAAAATAAAATAGAAAATATTACAGGTTTTGCCAATTTTTATGAACAAATAAATTATATTGTTCCTATCTTAAAAAAATCACAAATGAATTGGCAGAGGCATATTTAGGCTTGGTTTCTATAGGGAGGTTACCTACTGTCAATACGTAGTAGCAACCTGGATCCGTGATTGACAAAATGATGATACATCTCTGTTCACTCTTATACCCTAAAATAATAAATTTGATACTTTATTGCTAAAACACAATTTTAAATTGTGCAAATCTAATGTTAATTAATAGCTTTTTAAACAAAGCAGATATCTTTATTAAAACAATTTTACAATATTAGCAATTTAAATATGATTTTACTAATCCTTATAAATGTATTATTATTATGACAAGACAACCATCAATTGAAGCATTTTGCAATTTAATAAAAATGTTAAAAATATCTATAGATATATTGTTTGAAGAGATTGTTATACTCAATGGTAGATTTTTAATTTCAAAATTTGCTTTTGTAAAAAATTTCTCTTTTACAGATCTCAAATCCAACACTTTTAATTTTGAAAAAAAATTCATACTAAGAGAATATTATTAACAGTCAAATACAAAATTTCCACCTCCTAGCAATAGATCCTAAGATATTAATTCAAAAATTCAAATTAAAAGTTTTTTAAAAATATAAATAAGTTAAAAAATGATACTACAAATAAAAATCTGGGGTCATTTTATAGTTCTATCAATAGTACATATTAAGGATTTTATATTATTCAGAAACCTTCAGACCCAGCCCCAAGCCTGGGTACAAGGGTCAGGACATATTTTAATTTTAAAATATATCCAGGCAGGGCAAAGTACCTTTGCAGATCTCGTCCAGTTTTCATAAATTTTATAGTAGTGATTAAGGAGTTTTATTATAAGAATTTTTAGAAATTTAATATTTTCATAAAAATATTTAAATTGGGACCCAGGGGATTTTAGTTTTTGCAATTTATAAATGAAATAATTGTTTTTTTTATTTCCAGGTAACCTTAAATGAAATTATTTGCCAAAATATTAGCATTTATAATAACCTTTGTGACAGGAGGCTAAAATTTTAGACTTGATGGATCCTACTAAAGATATTCTCTCATTGTGCAAAATTCAAATAGTCAGGTTACAAAGTTATCAATATAATATGAATTATCCAGTGACACATAGAGTACTGTTAAATTGTTACCTCTTTAAACAATTTTGTTTTCATTATTTGATAGGATACTACAAGAAATTAATTAAATTTTTTGTGTAATAAATCTTTAGAGCACAATTTATTTTATTAAAATAATAATTTAAATCAATGTATAAGTTATGATTATCTTAAGCCAGCAACACTTCTACCACCATCAACAGGCATGTTAACTCCTGTTACAAATGAGGCATTTTCAGATGCTAAGAATGCTATTATATTAGCTACTTCTATAGGATTTGCTACACGGCCCATTGGGTGAGTTCCTTTACTTTTTTCTAAAAACTTTAATTAATAAGATATGACGTTTATAAAATTATATTTATTTTACATTGTTGTATTCCCCCTCTTGTAAACCACCTCTTTTTTGCAACTCTGTCAAGGTAACACCAGGATTAACAGAATTTACCCTAACATTTTTTGATGCTAATTCCAATGCTATACATCTTGTAAATTGATCAAGGGCAGACTTTGACATATTATATGCAAGAACACCAGGAAACTATGAAGTATTGTTTTAATAATTATATAGACGTTATTACACTTCTTATTCCATTTACACTAGAAACATTAACAATGGAACCCTTTGATTCAATTAAATATGGAACAGAAAGCATAGTTAAGTAATATACAGATCTATTAAAATAAATTACTGATAGATACAATATATTACCTACCTCACATTAATATTAAATAATCTATCATATTGTTCAAGTGTGGTGTTCTCTATGCTGCCAGTCTCTAATATTCCTGCATTATTGATCTAATTTATATATAATCTCAATATTAAATGTTTTAATTATTTACTAATATATCCAATTTAGAATAAGTTTTAATAGTTTCTTTAACCAAATTTTCTACATCTTTATCATGAGTAAGTTCTGCTTTAAACATAATAGGCTAAAACAAGGTTAAAAGAATAGTATTAAAAATAACTTTATATTTATTATGGGAAACATTTTCACAATCCTGTGATGTTTTTTCTAGATTTATAATATTGCGTCCCGTGAGGGATAGTTTTGCACCCAATTTTGAAAATAAAATAGCTGTCACAGCTCCTATTCCTGAACTAGCTCCTTTGACTCATTGTATAATTTTAATGCTAATATATATACCAGTTACTAGAACAACTTTATTCAAAAATTCGTCCGATTTAAATGGCATTAAATGATGAAATTATGAATACGCTGATAAAAAACCTATTGTGGTAATTCACTCATTCATTCATTACCACGCCATGCAATTTCATCACCCACCAGGAGTTGAAGCGTTCATCATGTATTTTCACTAGTATATAGATCCCATACATGTTGTCTACCCGTTTTATTATAGTGGACGGTACCACTATGTAGCCTGTTAGCAAAGTGAAGAAGGAAGAAGTACAATAATGGTGATGTATTAGTTCCGTTTCCGGCAGAATAGTGTTAAGGAAGAAATAAAAAATAATGTCATATAAAAAAATGTAACTGCGTCCTTAAGTGGTATTTAGTGAGGCAACAAAAAAATAACCCTTATATCTTGTTAAGTATTGAGAGTTTATGTTAAGTTTGCATGTAGAGTCTCTTCCTTGTTTGTTGTTCGGTGTGCCAAAATATTGTATGTCCTGTAGATCTTATATGTTCTGTGCCAATGGTATTTGGGTTCGTTCGATTTATTGCGTTATTATTATAGCCAGTTTATCTTCTCATTGCCTGTTATACAGCTAATATTTTCGTAATTGTTATCGTTATCGTCGCCGATATCGTGTGTCCAGAAAGGAAGGTCGTGGGTTATTAGAGGAAGTTAGGTTATGTTGTTGTTGTTCAGGTTATTATCATTATCAAATACACTTATTCCATTTATTGCAAGAACGTAAAGGTGAAGAACGGTTGCGATATTAATTTAGGCCATATTTTAGCATGTATTGTAAATGTTCCTTTAGGTGTTTCTTGTTTTTGCTAAGTGCCATGAAATCTGCAAACGAGAGGTTAATCAGGTCCATATCTTTCAGACATTTCGCCAACCAATAGTATTTAGGGGTTTTCCTCCTACCGTCAGGGCACCATTTCAAGGACGAGAATATCATATTTTCCTGCGAGTGTCTTAAGCTATGGCCTAGTAATTCTAGTCTCCTCATGGGTATGAGACGATTGATTGGTAGGATGTCGCATCTATTCCAGAGCGTTGTATTTGATGTGTTGTATGGGTAATACGTTTTGGTGATTCTTCTAAGGCATTTGTTTATAAAAGTCTGAATTGTGCTGATGTTACTTTTTGAGTCTTGCCAAGTCTCCAGGCCGTAGGTAAAAATGGGTACAATTAGGGACTTGAAGAGTCTTATTTTTAAATTAGTTGATATTTGGTTGGATGACCATAATTTCGACAGTTGATGATAGCGGAGTCTAGCATTATTCGTTCTCGATTTCGTGTCTAAAAAGGTGAGGCCTAATGACGTTATCCTGGTTCCTAGGTATTTAAAATCTGACACTAATTCTATCGTATTACTCTCAAAGTTAAAGGGGTTTAAGTGACTCGCATCAGTATTTGAGGTGATTAGTTTGGTTTTTGTGTAGTTTACTCTTAGACCATATCCATCACAGTTGTTGACAAATAATGATAAAATATTTCTTAATTTGTATTCTGAGTTGGCTAGAATACATACGTCGTCAGCATAACATAGAAAGTTTAAAGAGTTGTGCATATCATTGAGGTGTTGTTGCTCACTGTAATATGTGTTGAGTGCATATTCCTGTTTAAAGGATTTATTTAGGATATCATTCATTATTACATTAAAAATAATCGGTGAAAGGATGCATCCTTGTTTGAGGCCTCTATTTGCTTTAAAAGGTTGCGACTTCATATTTAAATGCTGAGGAACTACGCTATGATTGTCGTAAATTATCTTAATTAGCGCTATCAGATGTTTATCTATTCCAATGTTTTCCAGCAAGGGCCTAATCTTATTCTGAATTATGGAGTCAAAGGCTTGACTTAAATCAATCATCAGGGCAAAGATGGGGGATTTATGCATTCTGGCCTTTTCCAGAATGACCTTAAGTGCCATGGTCAACTCCGTAGTATTTCTGCCCTTCCTGTATGATGTGATAGCATTAGAAAGGAATCTGTTAATGATTGGTTTAATCCTGACTGATATGATGTATGTGAACATTTTTAGTGTGACTGGAATTAGTGCAATACCTCTGTAATCTTTAAGGCAGTTTGGGGACTTATTTTTAGGGAAGTTTAGTATAATTGATGTCATCCATTCGTCAGGAAACTTGCCCATATTCCAAATCTCCCTAAAGAGGGGAAGTAGTAAGCTGGCACTTAGGTCTACCTCTATCTTCCAGAGTTCTGCAAAAATTCCATCAGCTCCAGCAGCTTTATGCATTTTTAGACGTTTGATGGCACCGACTATATCAGACTTGTTCAAATTCTGATTGGGTGATTGGAAGGGGTAGTCACATCTAGGTCTAGGCCATCTCGTTTTGTAGAGGTTCATGTAGTGGTCTATCCATAAGTCTAATTGTTCCTTAGGGTCAGTTATAATCTTGTTGTTTAATTGTAGTCTTGGTAAAGGATTGGTTTTAAAGGTGGTGAGTAGTTTTAGAGATTGGAAGGCCTTATAAATATTATTATTATCAAAATTAAATTGGATAGAATTCGATAAGTTAGCAAAGAACAGTCTTTTGTCAGCTCTTATGCGGTGGGTAATGTACCTCCTGTGATGTCTTGCGAATTGATGGTGGGATATATTTGTTGTAAGATTCTTAATTATTTGTATTGTTGAAGGGGTGAGCCACTCTCTGCGCTTGGGGCGTGGTCTTAAGCATGATGTTATACTACCTAATACATTCTGCTTAATGTCCTTCCAGGTCAGGTTTTGGTTTATCATGCCATTTGCTGAGTTTCTCCATGATGTTAATTTAGAGACGAACTCTTCTTTCACCTCTAAGTCATTTAGTTGTGTCAAGTCTTTTCTAGCTATGTATTTTACAGTGGTAAGACTGTTCTGTCTAGTGTGGTTTGGGAAGATACTGTTGTTAATTTTGAGTTCACAGCCCAGTGGATAATGATCAGTAAAAAGTGTAAGGTTAAGTTTACTGATTACCCTGATGTCTTTCACCCATTTGAAAATCTTAGTGGAAATTATAAAGAAATCTATCTGTGAGGTAGTGCCAAAGGAAGGGCTCTTGTAAGTCATGATGTGATGAGTTGGATGATTGAAGAAAGTATTACCAATTTTCAAGTTGAAAAACTCGCAGATTTCTATTAACTTTTTACCGTTGGGGTTCGTGCTTTGTATTAATGTGGCGTTTCCAAGGCAGGAAGAGTTCTTAGATTTGCCTACCGAAGCATTGAAGTCACCTGCTAGAATGATGCCATCCCGATGCGGTAGTTCCTTTAAGACATTCTCCAATTCCATATAGAAAACGCTATCATTGTGAGGCGGGTATATATTAAGCAAATGGACTTTTTTGTATCCTAAGTTTAGGGTGAGGCAGCATATTCGGCTGGAAATTGGGTTGAAGCTTACGAGTCTTATTAGTTTATTATGTATCATAATCGCCACCCCAGCCCATACGTGTTCTGCATTTGAGCTGCAATATAAGGTGTAATCTAATAGGTTCCTTACCTCAGTTACTTTAAGGTGGGTCTCCTGTAAAAAGAGGATATCGTAATGTTGGTCTTTCATAATTTGTCTTAGTATAGTTAGTTTCTCATTCAGGGATCGTGCCGATTCTGTTGTAAGAATAATGAAAAACACCCACTATTAAAAAAAAAAGATCTTTTCTATTGTGGTAATTAATAACTCTATTCAAGGAATGTTCAATCGATGATTTTTTTTAATTGGATGAAATATATTTAAAATACGTGATTAAAAATTAAAATTTTTTTTAACTTTTCTGGTCAAATCTGACAGGACATTGGAATATTTAGGGGAATAGAAGTTTAAAATAATCAGATGCTGTAGTGGCAATTTCTTTGAAATCACAAGTTTTTACTTATTAATTTTTTTTTTAAAATGGTTTATTACTTTATTCCACTATACTTGAAACATTAACTATGGAACCATTAGATTTAATTAAATATAGAACAGAGGGCATAGACAAGTATAGAGGTCTACAAATAGCAGATTCTCAGGTCAGTCAGGTCCGGTTTAAATTTAGCTTTTGTCCGGCCAGGTTTATAGCGCGATCTGTTTCCAATTTTAATTAAGGTTTCCCGTTCCGGTTTTTTTTAAGATACAAGGCATAACCCGAAATATAAACAGGAGATGATAGTCAACGGCAAATGGCGTTTTATCAGCAGGAAATACGCATTTTCCGCTTCGATAAAATGTTACGAAAATAATAATGAAAAATTTTAACGAAATTATCATACTTGATATTTGATATATATGGTGAATTCCATATCAAATCAACCAAGGTTTCAATCCGACCCCCTTCAATTTTTTTAAAATTTTGTATACTGGTAGTATATACTATAACTAAGAAAAAAAATGAAATTTTACCTTCCAACACTGTTTATCCGCTAAGATATAGCCGTTTAAAGCGCGGAAAAATGGTACATTTTTTACAAAATGCACCTCATTTATTTTCAAAAGTCTTGCGAAATAATTAGGTTAGAAAAATAATTTAAATTTTATTTTGTACCTTAATAAAATTTCTTTAAAATGGCATAAAAATAAATATGATAGACATTTGATTAATATCGAAAACCGAATGTGTAAAACCGGAAATGGCCATAGAAAAAAGTATTTTTTTTTCTGTAGATAGATATCACACTGCTTTATATTTGTAGAAAATCCTAGACTGATCAACATGGTTTTAGGAGTTATCACTCTTTATATGGCTAAAATTGAACAAATTTAATATTAATGTCATCATATTTTAATTTAATAAATAGTTATGAAATAATGTTAATTTAAAAATTATGTCTAAATGATAGGCCCTTACTTTTTTTTATCTTTATCAAAATTTTTGAGAAGTGGCTGGAATAATGAGCTTTGCTTAACACTTTAGTTAAATTTTTTCTCAAAGTTTGACAAAATAATTCTAAACATATTTATAATTTTATTTGCCTCAAATTACATTACATATAATACAATCAAAAATTTATAATTAAAATATATCATATATTATAATCATCCAAGGAATTTTAATAAATTATGACTTTTGTTTTCGTCTAGGGGAATGTGATCCAGAAATTCTTTTTTGCTCTCAAAAATCTGCTTTCATGATGACTTTCTATGTTCATATATTCATTGCTCACAAATATATAATTTA